GGTTAAGTTTTGCAATATCATCCTGTCAAATGTTTCAATTTCATAGAAAGCCAAGTAGTTAAAAATTTAGATAAAGCAATAAATTAAGTTATTCTTTTATCATTGATCTAAGAATAGGAATGTTTAAAATGGTGGTAACACTGTAATAAAAATGAAATTATTTTGTTTTTTGAATAATAAAATGGTTTTTGAGGAATTTACATGATTTTAAGAGGAAAGGGGGAAATACTCAAATTTTGTTTTAAATACTGCTTTGGACAGAATGTGTATCCCAAAACACATTTATTGAAACCTAATCCCCAATATGAGAATATTTGGAAGTGGGGCCTTTGGGAGGTGATTAGGTCATGAGTGAGAAGGTGTTATCTATGAACCAGAAAGTGGGCCCTTCCCAGGCAAGAAATCTGCTGGTGCTTAATCTTGGAGTACCAATACTCTAGAACTGTGGGTGAAAAATAAATTTCTGTTGTTTCTAAGCTACCCAGGTTATGGGATTTTGTTACAGCAGCCCAAATGCGCTAAGACACACGTTAGGCTGAAAGCATGAATTTAACAGGAAAGATAACAAGTACTCTTTATAGATTATAGCAGACAGTATTGAAAAGAGTGTCATTCATACTAAAATTCCATGCAATTTATCCCTAATATCTTGTTTAGAATATTTAATAGCAATTTTAAATGTTATTATTTATTTGTATTTTATAAATAAACGAAGGCTTAGAGAGTTAGATCAGCTGCTCAAGGTGATAAAGTCAGTTAATAAGTGGAGGATCCAGGACATAAATTCTCATCTAATGAGTCTAAAACTTTGCTCAATCCACAAAGCCAAACTATATATCCATAGTGATAATCTTACTATTAGTAAATATTGGTAAAGCACAATATTTGTTGTGATGAATTTGTGATGTATAGGTGGTTATTTATACTACCTTTTAGCAAAGCCAAAAATAGATTTATAAATAATTGAATGGTATACTTAAAACATAAATTTCAAAATCTGAGTAAACTGAATTCAGTTGAGACTGTGGCTATTTTGAGAATAATTTAAATATTGTCTATTTCTAAAAGAATTACAGGTATCTTAAGCAAGGGAAACTAAAATAAAATAAGTGAACACTGAACTCTGTACTATGCTTCCTAGCAACCAAATTGAGAAAAAAAAGGCTAATTAATATAGCTCACATTATTTATTAGGAGGAGACATAGCTCATCAGAAAAGAATAATAAAAAGATAAGAAGAGAAAAGAAAAGAAAAACAAAAAAACCCTAGCATTGATGTTTCAGAGAAATTAACTAGCAGGCTTTATGTGTAAGACATGCTGAAAACCGTAACAGATGATACCTGTAACATTATAGAACCTGTTCATAGGCCAACCAATTATAAACCCTAAGACAAAATGTTAAATCCTAGTTTGGGGAAAGTGTTTCTGTGAAAAGTAGAATAATAGAGTCCTGTGGCCTGGCTTGCTGGCTCTCTGCCCTCTTTGAAAGTTAGAATTTTAGGGAATCTATAGAAATAAATGGTTATAACGTCCCATAGGTCAACCTTTTCAAATATCAATTGTCAAGCTTTTGACAGCAGCTGTATAAGACAAAATTTCAAGTTGAGAACCCTGACAAGTAAGTAAAAGGTGTTCTGAGTTTTTGATTGAAGGGACTCCTCATGCTCTAGAGATTTGTAATATAAGTTATAAAGTTCACATTTTGAAATGAAAATTAGGAAGTATGACTAAATGCAATCAGTCTGCACATCTTCATGCAATAATTACTTTCTAATTAAATGAAAAAGTCATAAAAATGACAAAAATCATTCCTGTTTTATGACTTAAAATGTAGTACTACTGCAATAAAGCCTGTTTTCATCATTTGCCTTCAATTTGAAAAAAATAGCTCTATTTATTTATTAGCACACACATTATCTTTTTCAAGTCTATATTATCTCTGAGATTTTCACACCTGATGCATAATATAATTTCATTATTTTACATAAATAAATTTTAGAAATCAACTGCTTGTTTTAAAAATGTATTTTGACTTTCCTAGATCCAGCATTTTCATGTTTCATTAAATATGTATTTTGGTGACATCAGGACATGAATCGTCTTGTTCAATATCTATCCTTTCTTTATTTTTGATAAATTTTCCTTCTGGGTTTTATATTTGTCTGTGGTATTTCAAGCTATAGTAGACTGTTTTTGAGGGCTACCTAATTATGATTCCCTCCCTTCAACTGTTCCCTATTTTGGAAATGCATATATTGATTAATTCAACTCCAACTTTTTAGTGAATGTGGTGAGAAGTTCATATGTATTGATAAAAGGACAAGCTGATATGCAGTAACACTGTGCTGCAAAACCACTGCTTATGAATATTGCTAATTAGAGCTACAAGTCATAGACTATACAAAGAGAGAAGGTTGCAGTGTTTTAAGTTTAGATATCCATCTCTACCCATATAACTGGGTAGAACTGTGGTAATCAATTCAAATCGATTAATATTTGAGGGTCTGCTATGCATCATGCATCATTATAATAGACAATGAGAAGGATGAAAGATTTGATTCATCCATTCATTCAAAAAATATTTATTTAGCCCCTACTGTATGCCAATTACTCTTCTAGAAACAAGGGATTCGGCAGTGAACTATTATAAAATGACAAAAAAAAATTCAGTGAACAAAACAGGTAAAAGGATAACACTATTTAAAATAGATTATGTATACATACATACGCACACAATAGTACAGACAAGTTTCTGAAAGCTATGCCAATATCTTGGTAAGAGGAAAAATCCTTTCAACGTTAAAATCAAAAATGGAATTGATCTTTTGGGTCTTGTTCTAGTCCTTACAAATACTGACACATTTTTTAAAACCAAATGATCAGCAAATATGCTGTGGTTAGACTAAACACAGCATCGAGACTAAACCGACTATTTTAATATCCTGATTACATAGTTCATAGTACTTGGGGTTATTAGAAGCTGTTTGAAATAGAGCCTTCGAATGATATGTTTGAACAAGAATTAATCAATCAATGCCCATTTAGAATGTTTCTCTTCTGGAGAAATATCTCACCATGAATATTTATTTAAATCGAAACTGTTAGATTATGAGACTATTTATTTCCTCTAAAAGGTAACTCTGAAAAATTGCTCCATCTTTTGAAAGGAAATTATGATTTGTTTTGCATTTCCATAACAATCAATTGACAAACATACATTCCTAATCCTCTGCACTAAATCGTGGCGGTGTACATACGTGTTTGTTACTACCACCAGAGGGCGCTTTACTGAAACAGCACCTAGCACCATGTCTGACACATTGTGTAAGTGTGCATCAAAGAAATGCAAACCAATTAAATTTTAATCCTAATAAAATTGGGTGTCTTGAGATCAGTATGGTATCACATTCAAAGAAACAAAAGTTTGACTCATAAAGCATTATGATTTTTATTGTTTCCATACCCCAAATAACTCTCATCACTGGAGCTGCTTCATTGTCTATCTCCCTTTCCTTTTCTTCCACTTTCCAAATCCCTAAAAGCATCCACAGTATTCAATCTGTTGGCCTTTTCATGCTCCTTCACCTTCATAAATTGTTCTTCCTCTATTTCAATCCATAACCCTTCTGCACCATTCTGTCCCTCTAGCTTCTTTCTTTTCTCACTCACTATCTCCACTCCTGCGGGCAATACGAGGGTCGATGATTGTCACCAAGAAAGCTGCCCTCTTTAGGTAGCTTGAGAGAGTAGAAGAGTGCAAGTGCTTAGAGCAGTTTTTTGTTTGTTTGAAGTTTTATTCATCCTTGTCACAAACAAATGACCTACAGATTAAAAATGTCTGCCTGTTTCCTCGAGAAAAAAAGAGGAAAGTCATTCAGTAAACACAGCACCTGCAGATTTCTGTGCAGGGGTAGGCACAGCTGGGCTTCATTACACAGCCATGCTATAAGCAAAAGATCTTGCAGTTGTTGGATTACACAAAGGAAAATAAACAAACACAAACAGATACATTCTAGTTAATGTCTAGGTAGGTTCCTGATGCTCCGGCAAGTATTTAGCAGAGAGTAAAATACAACTAATATGATGGTGTAAGCTTAAAAATCAAGTAAGAATGTCTCCCAAGGGCTGACGACATTTGCTCACCATATTCTTGGCATCCTCTCTTTAGCGAAGGAGGGGATATCTTCACTCCCTCCCGTGGCAAATCCTCCAATAGCACCGTAGATCCTACTCATTCTCACCTCTCAGAGACTTTGAGATTGCACCTATTGCCTCATACGTTGTCTGTCTCTTCACTGGATCCTTGTCATCAATATTACTCATGTGTTTTAACATCTTCTATCTTGTAGAAACCCTGCCTTATCCTACATTTCTTTAAACTATTGCCTCATTTTTCTGTTTTCCTACCTTAAAAATGATTTGAAATATTTGGCAATATCAGTTGCTCTTTATGCCTACCTCATTTGAATTTTCATCTAATTAGCTTTGCCTGGATTCTCCTCCTTAACTTTAAAAGTTAAAATAAATCATAGCTTTAGCCTAGGCCCACTTATTTTTTCCATGTATCTACACAATGTAGATAAATGTATGGAACTCTCGATTTTTCTCCTCAACTCTGTTCCACCCCATTCTAACCTATTCTAATAAAGAGCAAAACCATCCTCTCAGAAATATCCACCTAAGTCATATCCTGGCTCCAACCTTTGATCTTTGCACAACGCAGTTTCCGTAAGGCAGGCAAGGTGATATTATATTTTAAAATGTAAATTATGTCATGATCATGTCATTCCTCTGCTCTAAAGATGTGAATGGTTTCCTTTCAAAATGAGAACAAACATAAACTCATTATCCTGACTCACCAAGCTAAGTGATCTGTTCCCTCTCTTTCTTTCTGCCCTAAAACTCAAGTCTCTATCTGCCTTACCCAGCATACTTTTGTGAGTGGGGCTTTCTTTAGATTTTTTTCTGTAGATTTTTTTCAAATTTGCTGAACTGAGGTCAGTTTAGATACTCTGAGCAAGCCATTACTTCCATATTTGGTAATATAAACATTTTCTCAAATAAAAATAAATCAATACCACCGATTTTGTAGACATCCTGGAGAGGCAGACGCAAAGGCTTGTCAGTTGGACGAGTTGGTGGCAGGATGCAATCCAGAGCTTCAAGCAGTGTGGTTCCACTGGCGTTGCCATCTTTACGGGTGACTTTCCATCCCTTGAACCAAGGCATGTTAGCACTGGGCTCCAACATGTTGTCACCATTCCAACCAGAAATTGGCACAAATGCTACTGTGTCAGGGTTGTAGCCAATTTTCTTAATGTAAGTGCTGACTTCTTTAACAATTTCCTTGTATGTCTTCTGGCTGTAGGGCGGCTCAGTGGAATCCATTTTGTTAACACCAACAATTAGTTGTTTCACACCTAGTGTGTAAGCCAGAAGGGCATGCTCACGGGTCTGCCCATTCTTTGAGATACCAGCTTCGAATTCACCAACACCAGCAGCAACAATCA